TTAGATTCTACTATATTATCACAATAATTTTAGAAGGTTATAGATTCATTTTTCTAAAAGCCAAAAAGATGATCCTCCAATTTCTCTTCTTCATACTTAGACTCAGTTTCATCTTTACTTCCAGAGTTATCTAACTTATTATCATCATACTGCTAGATTTTTGTAACTTTAAAGAGCAGCTATCTTGGATAGGATATGCTGAAGTTTCTTGAATTTAATAAAAACAATGATTTCTTGATAGTACTGACTTTAAATAATTAGTTATTTTTAACAATAGCCTAATATGATAGTATATCTGTCTACAGAAATCATGACACCTCCAACCAAAAATAAGAGTCTAAAATTTCACCAATAATTCTTTTGTTTTAACTATATATATTAATTATATTAACAGTAGTAGGTCTTTCTATCTTAATACTAAGCTCACTAAAGAGGTGGAAGAAACAACACTTCCAGAAGACCTATTATCGATAATAAGAGGAATAACTTTATCTTAGACCATAGTATTGCAAAACAAGCTATTGATTTAGGGTTGGCTAAGGATTAATAAAAGCATAAATCCTTTTTTTGGAGTCTTTGTTTTACAAAGACTCTTGGCTAGATTTGAATACAAAGAAGAAACTACCTGCAAAAGTTGGCCAAAGGTGATATTAGCAGATTTGTCACTTATATCAGATATAATTAAATATCAAGAAAAAGTGCAGAGATTTGAAATAGATTATTTTTAGCTTTTCTTATTCTAACAGAAGCAGTTTTTGTTTTCTTCTTTGGCTTAGAAACTATAGCAACTTTTCTTCTATATTCTCTTCTATTGTCTGAAATCTCTTCTCGATTACTAATCCTTTCTTCTTCTAGAAAGTCTTTAAGGGTCAAATCTTTAACACATCTCTTCTTAGATCGAGTAGAATAAGCAAGTCTTTCAGATTTATCAACAGAGAGAAACAGGGGCTTATTTTTGTCAAATAGAGGTTCAAAAAAGTCTGGGCTTTATTTTCTTGAGATTAAACTAGAGCATCATTATTATTAACTGGTAGGAGGTTATTTAGAAGACCTTTGCTCTATTCAAAAAAGATAGTATAGCTACCACACCAGGATTATTTTAAGATAAAAAATTAGTACAGTTGCAAGTATAGTGGTCTGTTTGTTCACACTGAATACAATTGAAGCAAGATAAATTGTTTTAATTAGTCAGGAGTTATTTAGAGGCTCATATGACTCTTGAAGTTTCTTCATTACTGCAGTTAAAGTTTCTGTAAATTTGACAAGAACTTACTCTATATTAGAGAAGTTTACTATCAGAGGGTTACTAGAGGTCATAGCTACAGGTTGCAAAAGTTAGATTGGGGTTTAAATATTAAGAAACTTGAAGAGAGGCTATAAAGTAAGGATTATAGAAAAAGGGATTCTGTTTAAAAGAATTTTCAAATACCATGAAATACTTATAGATAGCAAACAATGTATTGGATATGAAAAGGGCAATAGCAAAGAACAACTCAGATCTTTGACTATTAATAAATATCTGGGCTTTGGTAGTGTCTGGGTAATGATGAATATCTAACTCTACATGTCAAAGAAGTTCTTTGATAGATATATAATATAAATTAACATATTCAGTAGGATCTTGTTTCCTTTGAGTCAGCTGAGCAAACTACTTATTTTCAAGAAAAGGGGTTTGGAATCAAGTAATAAAATAAGAATAAAAACTTTGCCCTCTATGATGTAGATCATTTTACTGATTAACAGCAGGTCAAATAGTCCTAGCAGTAATCTACCAAGTGGCTACTATGCCTTTCAAGTGAGAAATAACTATTAAAATTTTTTGATTATCTTGAACTTGATTAGCTTCAAAAGCTTTTTTTACATCTTCCAACCAAGTAATGGGTCTTGTTCTTTGCCAAAGAAATTAGAATAAGGAACTAAGTTGAGCTTATAATTTTGAGCTAGAAAGTTAATAGTAGAGATATTGATTTGAGAAACAGAATTATTTTGCATTTGAAGAACAAGATTTCCTGTTAGATTGGCCAAGAAAATTATATGATTATTTTAAAAATTGGGTTGGTTGTTCTAAGTGATAGGTGGTTGTTAATTATTATCATTAGGAACAACCAGTAAAGGAACTTGAAGATAATTGTTGTTCTGATTCATATCATTTGTGAAAGTATTACTATTTTTATATATTTTGTCATAAGGATCTAAGTTAAAACAGTCAGTTTTTTGGTAAGTAGTTAAAAATTCATTTAATAGAGTGAGATAATCATCAAGTCATTCTTCTAATTAAAAACTAAAGATAAAAGATCTTAATAATTAATTAGATATATTTCTAATTTTAAAAATAGAAAGTTTTTCAATTATCATATAGAGTATTATGAAAAGGAAGAAGCCAATTGAAAAGTATCAAACCAAACCCAAAATCTTTGAAAATGAGAGAAGAGAAGTTGAGGTAAATAGCAAATAGAGCAAGAATTGCCAGAATAATATCTAATCAGATAGTTGATTGCTTGAGAAGTTTTGTTAAACAAATAATGATGTTGGTTATATTCACCTATATTTCTAGAATATTGTTTGAAATTATTCATGTGGTCCTAAAAACTGACAGGCAGATAATTCCACACAATTGGCACCAAATATTACTATTAAAATTTAGAAAAGTGTCAGTAAAAGTGAGTTTAAATCAGCAATAGTAAATGAAAGATAAATTAGAGTAAGATAAAGACAACAATAGGTGACTGTTTAGAAGTTTATAGATTGATTATGTAAGCTCATAGATATTAATGTTCTTGAATGTTTGTGACATAATATTGTTATAATATTTATAAGATATAATAAATAAATAAATATAATCATGAAGATGTGTTTACAATATAGATATCAGGATATATAATACTAACAATACTATGAAGATATATTTATAATAATACAATATTACAAGAGAAAATTCTATATAAAACTGTTAATTCAAATATCAGAAAGATTGAAGTTTGAAAAAACTTTATTCGATTATCTAATGAGTCTTTAAATATATTTGAAAATTGTACAAACTATTTAACCAAGATTACTATTAGTATTTTCTTCCTTTATAAATTTATTATTTTCAATGCCAATTTCTTTACTCCTCAATGACGATAAATGCCTGATATAAATAATAACTATACCTTGCCTCAATAAGTTCATTGAAACCATTCCTATAACAAGATTTGGCTTTCCAATACTTTAACAAACACATGTCATATTTATCTTAATTTATCACAACATTTCACCCTGCAATATGTTCAATATATCATTTGATTATTATAAAAAGCAATAGTCAGTTCAATTAAAAAATACTGTTAACTAATCTATTGTAGACTAAAAAAAATAGTATAGATCTATATTTAAATATTTACTAGGGTATAGTGATCTCACTATAAATAATAAGATGATGATAATCATAGGATAGACTAATTAAATATAAAATACTAATAATATGAATATAGAATAATGAAAAAGTAATAATAACAATAATAATAATATATGATAAGGCTAATAAATAGTAAAGATAAGCTAATAATAAGAATAATATGAATAATAATAAAAAATTATGTGCTGGAATCTTCTACAAAGCCAGGGTGCAGAAAAAAATTAAAATTTTAATAGTAATACCATAATTGAATACTTTGTGCCAATAACTGGTATATCTGGCAGAAATATGATTATTCAATATTTGGGTCCCATAGAAGCCTAGCTATCTCACGAACAAATTCTTCACCAGATACTTTCTATTATTTGTAAGTGTAATAATGATATTGTTATCTTACAGATTATGATATAATTGTTATACTTATCAAATAACTACAGTTATTGTCTGCTACACATTTAATAATATGATAAAAATCTTTGTTAAAGAGCTATTATTGAACTGCCAAACTAGAGCAAGGAATCAAGCATAACAACAAAGTAAAAATTTTTTTTAAATTTTATTCTCATAAAATATCCAGTATATTATTTGTCTAATAAAGATACACATTTTTAGAAAATACAGAAAGTAGTGAATTTGTTGAAAGTTCTCAAATATCTGAATAGTATCCATGGATATTGCTAGACACAAACTTGAGGTAACAAACTCTGCCTGTAAGTGTTTCTTTGAACCAGTGAATTTCTATTACAGTCAATACTGTTTAATTGCATGCCATTCGTCAGAGACTTTTTCATGCATATAGACAGTATATGCATTTAAGTTATAAGAACCATGTTTGTGTTAATAGTTAAAACCAAAATTTTTTATACAGTTAAAAAGTATATGCAATTAGATAGTATGCAATTAGACAGTATCAACTGTACTTATATTCTAAAATTTATCTTGTAAACTATTTAATATATCTTGTTTGTGAAAAGTTGGTATTTGGTTATTCAAAGAAAGTATTTTTTGAAAATATTCAAAAAATTTCTAAAGAGATCGGAAATATAATATCAGAGTTTGTATACTACAAAATATGGTAGCATTAAAGAACAAGTTGAATGTTTGATTGATTTTGAACTAATTCTTTTGTTCTTGGTATTATGTGGGTTAGATAGTTGGGCTAGTTTTAATTTTACTATGATACATCTTATGATTAACTGTATTTAAAGAACATATTATTAAGCAAGCTAATACGGACTAAGATTTAAATTTAGAAAGAACTATAATTTTACAAATTTATTCTTGTAGAGCTTCTTTTAAAGACAATCACTATTGTTTTTATAATAATTAAAAAATTTTAAGTTGTATATTTTGCTTTTTTTAATACAATTAAATTAATTGTTAAAGATATAATTACTAGTGATGATAAGACCATTGGTTTTGTTAATTTCATAATATCTGTAGTAATGACTGAACTCGGTCAATATGGAATTTGAGTATACACAGATATCTAAATTATTTTTTTAAAAAGGTAATTTCAACAAACATATAAATTTCACAAAATAACTATACTACCTAATGTATTTTGAATAAAAATTTAAATAATTTTACTAAAAATTTTGACAACTATAAATTTAATTTTTCTACTAAGAAAAATTAATTTTAACTAAATATTAAGTAATTTAGACACCCATGTATAGATTCAAGTAATTCAAAGTTCTCCTGATTCGAATCATAAAAATTTTAACTTGCTTGTTATTCACAAGTTAATTATAGTAAAATTCTGTATAAAATTTAAATTAATTAATCAACAAATTGTATTAAAAAATTTGTAATTAATATAGTTTGTAATTATATAATTATATAATTTTATGAAATAAATTCTTGCAATTGTAAATTTTTAAAAATCAATTCATTGTACAATTATAGAGCAAAAAAAGTAACAGTGAACAGGAATAAAACCTTAATTCAAAATTGGTAGGCAAAACGCTGTTTTTAAAGACAAGTATAGATTTATTAGATATAATATTTTTAGCTAACAAATCTTTAATTATAATTGAAATACAAACTAACTTTATAATTCAACTTATTAAAGTTGACTCAAATCTACCTGTGTTTGACAAGTTTTTAGCATTGGATAGCACTATACAGTACAAACCAAAGTACCCAGTATAATACAAATTTTACTTATAGTCATGTCACTTATATTAGACTTTAAAATTTCTGTCAATTAAAAATCAACATGCATAGCTTCAAAATTGTAAAATAATATCATACTTTTAATTAATATAATTTTACTGATTTATAACAATATTGAGAATTCAAATCTGTACTAGGTTACCTGGTTTTAAATTTAACATACAGACATTTTTTAGTTTATATTAACAAATAAAACAAGTTTGAGTTTATAGTTATCTAATTAAATATTCAATTCTTTGCTAACTCTAACTTTAATCAATTTAAAGTATTAAGAACCTAATATTTAAAGTTTGGGTTTTCATATTTACTTGATATGTTTTGTAAGACAGCTAGACAACTATTGAATTTTAAATAATCTATTATATATTTGTTATATATTAGATTATTTATATTATGTTTAATAATTTTTTTAAGGGTTGGAAGTATAAGAAATGAACCAATAAAATATTCAAGTCAATATTGTAAAGGAAACATTAAAATTTTTAAAAAATTTGATGTGCATTACAATTTTATTGGCATAAATTTAAATTCAGATATATATAATACATATATACTTCAATTTTTAATGGAAAGCAACATCTAACAAAAAATCTAAAACGTAGATTTACAGTTTTTTTTTTAAATAGTTACTTGATGAAATATTAAAAGTTAAGTGCTTTCTCAAATTTCAGACTAAATATTTGCTATATAACCAATAATAATAAGGTTTGATGTGTATAAATAAAGTTGATGATTATAGATATTATGCTATAGTAAAAATTTAAAAATTACATAATTTTTACATCATGTATGGTAAAAATCTATAAACAGTGTTTAGAGATACAAAGCATTCATTTTTGATACTTCTGTATCAACATTTTTGATACACCTAAACATACTCTAAAAATTCTAACTTTTTACTATAAGTTAGTTTTAGAGTATGTTTAGATGTATCAAAAAAATAGATAAAAAAATATTGAAAATTAATATTTGCTTTAGGCTGTTCAAAGTTAATTCTCGGTTAATATCACTCCTAGCTGAAGTCTTCCCAAAAAATGAACAACCAATCAAAATACCAATAACTCTTACTAATCACTTGATTTATATCAACCAATAAAATTGGCCCATATTTGTTCATTTTTATATGTTCATTTCATTTTATGTCTCTGAGAGTCCTAGAACTGAAGAATCAACTTCGAATAGTTTTAGAGACAGAACACCTCAAGCATTATCCAAAAAAAATAGTAGCCAGATTATTTGTAGCTTATATGTGATTTTGGATACTGATTGCCAGATAAATTATAATTTTTTTTATTTAATGAAAATAACTTGCATTGTTTTTAAGTTATTCTTTCACATTGCATAATTCTAGACACCCTAATCTAATTTGTTTAAAATCATGTATTAGTAATTTTTTTTGGTGATGATACTGGGTAGAGTATCCAGGATTATGATGCTAGATAGCAAATTATGCATATTACAAATCATAAATTATGCGAATTACAGTATACGAATTTTGAGTTATTAGTCAAAAAATTATAGTTACAGAGACAAAACAGTTTATTCATTTAACTAATCAATTTTTGTTCATATGCTGCATGAACACTCTAATGCTAGAACGTATTTATTGGCGTGAATAATATAAACCCTTAAAAAAATAGCCAATCAGAGAGTACAAATTTTGACTATTTCAGATCAGCCTGACATAAATCTCAAATATATGCAAAAAAAAAGTAAAAATACTCAAAAACTAGTGTCTAAATCAATTAATTAAAAATTTTAGAAATGAAATTTTATACAAAACAAGTAACAATCTATTGCTATAGTCTCTAATATTAATATTCTAACTCTAAACTTATATCTTTACATACTTGTTTATTTACAAAATTTGATTTCCTTTTTGGTTTGTGCTACTCGTACAAATAATCAAAAAGTATTGTATACATGTGATATAAATTAAAAACGAGTCTGGCTGAATGTGCTGGAAGTCAATTTTATTTAAAGAATGCATATATCAGTTGCAATTGATGTACAAATAAATTGAAACAGAACATGCACCCAGAAAAAAGTAAGCAAGATTGTGCCAGGTAACCTGTAAGCAGCAAAAGCATGTTGCATAGCATAGGCTAGTAGTTTTTTGCCTGCATAATGCAAGCTGGCTAACAAATAAAATATGCAGTTATCACAAAAATAGCAGAATTCGAACTATTCCCACTCAATATGCTAGAAATATTTAGTTAGATTTATATTCTTATTTTTCTCTTTTTTTTCCCTATTTCCTATGCTGAATTGGATAGTACTGTATGCATGTTACTGTAAAAGGGTGGAACAGGGTCACAAATTGAGTATTTTGGCAATTCAGTTAAATATATATGTAGTTGTATTGTTATATACTTAGCTATGATCTTGCAAATTCCTCATAATTTTCTTATAATTACCAGATCTGGAAGCTAATAAAGCTATACCTAAACTTTTGCATATTTCCTATAATGTCAGTCTTTGTTATACTACTGGTACTTCAAATTACCTGATCTGAAAGTTGATAGAAAGTTATGCCAATACTTATTTTCTTATAATACTATTTTTGTGCTACCTAGTGCTTGTTAGCTAGTTACTCAGCTATTACTTCTGTATCTGGAAAGATTGTATCTCTGCTTAGTCATCTTTTT